AACATCCAACCTAGCATCAAGAGTGTTTTCTAATACAATTTTCCCATCTCGAGAAGCCAATACTACACCTCCGGAACTGAAAATAGAAGGGAAAACATGGCATTGGCATTATTTCAATAAGCAATCAATTGTTTTATAGACCATAAGCAGAGGAGCAAAGACTGCAGGGCAAATCCACATGCAATGGATTAGACCTCATAGTTTAGAATTTTTTCTCAAGTTTCTTTAGATGGAAGTAACACACTATGAGCAGTAATAATTACCAGAAAAGATCATGTTCATTAGCATGGGATGGAGCAGGTGGAAGGTAGACACTATCAACTATGATCTCAGGAGGATGAACTGTTGCCTTCTGTGCATACTCCTCCTTTGCAGAGTCCAAGACAGACTCCACAAAATCTACATCTTCTTTACGACAGCGCAACAACACAGATGGTTCTTTCAGTCTGAGCAAACTCTGCAATACAAAAAAAGTTCTTGGGTACTAGCGAAGGGTTTGATAGGCTAAATTAAGTTGTATCATCAAATCATCCTCAGAGTTATCGTGAACGGAAAAATGACATTATTCCAAGGCTTATATCTAAACACTCCATCCATCAGAAAATTGAAGTCTCTAGAGAAAGAAGATAAAAGAACCAATTGCTGAAGTGCAACACTCTATATTCTCATGATAAGCATGTTTGGCTAAGCTTAAAAATTGTAACTGCATTTTCAAACATGTTTGATATGTTACTTTTCTCTTACTTTTAAGTAAAACAAGTAACTTTAACCTTACTATTGAAATAACTAACTTATCATAACCTTGGATCAATTAAAAATTCGGCTAACAAGAGTTTCTGCAAGTTTAACAACAGACTCCTGAGATTCCTGTTGAAAGCTTATTCATGTTTACACATTTGGAAACTATTTTACCAAAAGTTTATCTATAATCATTCATCTAAGGAAATTTTTTAGAAACAAACAGAATTGAAACTCCTAAATTCTTTTCTATTACATGTTCACCTACCAACTTATTTTTTAGAAGCAGTCGTGGTTCATTTTCACAAATCAAAAATATAATTAAAAACAGCAGTAAAAAGGGGTTTCAACAACCTGAACGATGAGATCTTTCAGAAGATGTTTATAGCTATTGCCATTCTGGCTCACATTCAAGAGCTCTTTTGACCCAACCTCCTTCATTGAGTTAACCAAGTCATCCTGAGCTTGAAGAACCTTGATCCGAGAAGCATTGAGCTGCATGGAGTATTCACTGCAAAAACCAATTAACAGAAACTCAAGTAACGTGTTTTAATCATTAACCTTTCAAAATCTATGCATTATGATTTAATTGTATTGGCATCTGAACTCACAAAACCAACTCGGACTTACTCTAATTTAAAAATGAGAGTGTGTAAATATTCAATAGTCCCTTCAAAGAGGACGGACTAAAAGATTACCAAGTCAATTCAACCTATGAGCTGTCATGGTCTATAACAGGTCAGCTTTCCATGTTAGGTCAACTCGTCCAGTAACATGTTAGCTCGGCCTATGACAGGTCAGCTCTCCATGTTAGGTCAGCATTTTCCAATAACATGTCAGCTCTCCGTCATTTAGAAAACATCATCATTGCTTCATTGTCATTTGTACCTTATCCATGACATCACTGATTCCCATATGACCATTCCCATAACAACACATGGCACTCATGATAATTGTGCCTTACTTTCAACCAATCAAAAGCATGCAATAATTACCCACCATCTCGGCATCATCATGAGCTGACCTCAAAAGGACCAATCAAGAGTTAAGAAAGGCATAAGCAATGGCACACAATTCAAGGAAAGCATTGTAGATAACTTTTTTTTAGAGGCTAATTGGCTGTTTTGGGAGCCTATAAATATAACCAAATGGTTCCCCAATGGAGGGGAGAAGGACATACAATACACATTCTATAAGCTTTCTTTTTAATACAAATTTCTCATTTTTCTACTATTTCAGCAATTTAACTCGTACAAACCATCAATTAAGTTGACAAAAATTGATCTAGTCATTTTTTTAGTCAGTAGTTTGGCGCTAGGAAGGCATTGGAAAAGTAGCCAAGGTCTCTCTCAAAATTTCCTTTCCATTTTTCTCTAGACACCACACCTAAAAACACCTGAATGGTAAACACTATGCAAGCTAGAAACGTTTCCTGTGAGGAAAAGCAAAAATCATTGCAACGCAATTTAGGTGATCGATGATATTCCTAACTCAAAATTAAGTCCTAGGAGGTCTTATTAACACCTGTTCGAGGGAAAGTTTCAACCAAAACTACAAGCAGCGAGGTCTCGTAGCCTACCTTGCCTCTTACGAAGATCGTTGAGGCAGCAATGTCCATAGCAACACCAATAACAATTGAGATAGCAACAAATCGAACTAGCTTCTATGAGCTCAATTTCACCTCCAAATAGTAGCTATTGAGATCAAATGGCTGAGAGCTATTATAGACTGGGCAATTTAGAAACATTTCCTGTGAGGAAAAGCAAAAATTAATGCAACGCAATTCAGGTGCTCGATGATATTCCTAACTCAAAATTAAGTCCTAAGAAGCCTTATTAACACCTGTTCGGGGAATGTTTCAACCAAAACTACAAGCAGCAAGGCCTCGTAGCCTACTTTGCCTCTTGCGAAGATCGTTGAGGCAGCAATGTCCATAGCAACACCAATAACAATTGAGATAGCAACAGAATGAAACCGGCTTCTATGAGCTCAATTTTGCCTCCAACTAGTAGCTATTGAGATCAAATGGCTGAGAGCTGTTATAGACTAATTTTACAGGAAGCTTACTTAATTTCTTCAAAAAGACGACGAGAAGCTGCCTCCAACTGAAGTCGAGCAGTGTAGGTGGTTGAGGATTCCTATAGTAGTTGTTTTGAGGCAACACCAGCTACAAACCTCCGAAAACATTGTAAGTCATCAGTTCGCTCCACTTATAGCGAACCTTGAAAGTTTGGTACCTTGTTCTGAAAATGGGCATACTTGGATCCTGACTACTGCAAATAATTACTAAATTAGAATTATAAGCTACCCCTTCAAGCTTATTTTTCGGAGCCTAAGTGCAGCGTTTAAGTGTCATCGTTTGCACTAATACCGTAAACCATTTTTTTCTTGCAAATAAGCTATGATACAACCTCCAATACAAGCTAGAAATGCTATTGTCAGTTTGAAATAAGCCCAATACAGGGCCGATGGTCACTGGTAGCTTGATATGTGAGAATCAATATATCAAGTTAATAATCCCAGTTCTACCACTAAAGTGAAAAGATTTTCTTCCTGACCTGTAGCACTGGTCAACTATTGTTGGAAGAAATGTCTAATCATCAAAAACGAGCCCAAACTCATGGTTTTCTTATTATTGAGACAAGTCCGTAAGACCTCGCAATGATGAGGCTAACTCATAAGACCTCATCTCATCTCATTGAAGTGAGTCCGTGAGACCTCGCAACGAAGAGGCTAACTCATAAGACCTCATCTCATTGAGACGAGTCCATAAGACCTCGCAACAACGAGACTAACTCGTAAGACCTCATCTCATCTCATAGAAGCGAGTCCATAAGACCTCGCAACGATGAGGATAACTCGTAAGACCTCATCTCACCTTATTGAGGCGAGTTCGTAAAACCTCGCAACGACGAGGCTAACTCGTAAAACATCATCTTATTGAGACGAGTCCTTAAGACCTCACAATGACGAGGCTAACTCGTAAGACATCACCTCATCTCATTGAGTCGAGTCCATAAGACCTTTCAACGACGATGCTAACTCATAAGACCTCAATCTTATTGAGGCGAACTCATAGACCTCGCAACATGGGAGACTATTGGTATAAGAATACCCAGCAACAAGACATTATTTCCGCTAAGTGTTCCATGGTATTATCTTTAGTATTACTAATGTAAGCGTACGTCACTATTTACATTATCATCCACATGCATACATATCGCATCATGTATATCAGATTTCCGTTCTTGCTGTTCATTATCATTTGCAAATACATAAAGCTTGCTATTCGACAACACAATTTAATGTTGTATGTGCTGCAACACTTAGACAAAGCCAGCTCTTCGACATCAACAACACAATCTAAAGTTGTATGTGCTACAACTCTTAGACAAAGCCTGCTCTTCAGCAACACAATATAAGATTGTACGTGCTGCAACACTTATACAAAGCCCACTTTTCGAGGGCATACAAGCCTACTCTTCAGTAGCACAATCTCAGGTTGTAATTACTGCAACACTTGGACAAAGCCCGCTCTTTGGCGGCATACAAACCCACTCTTCAATAGCACGATTTGAAATTATAATTGCTACAAAGACAAAAGTCCGCTTTGCATAGTCTCTTCCTCAATCCATTTTGTCTCAAACCTCCTCATGGTTAGCTCTTTACACTTTGGCAGTTTAGTAAATAACCAAGACATCATCTCAGATCTTGTGGTTGGTCTCCACCTCAGCATTTCACCTAAGCGCAGATCAAACAAACAGAAGAAGTCAAATGACTTTACATAAATGAACTCAAAACCTACAGACCCCTCCTGGAATTGGAAGGGGAATTCTATAACAAAGCCTGACTTGGAAAATGCTAGAAACACTGATCGGACCTGATTCTTAAACCAATTCGTGATAGACCTACTCTCAAAAGGAAGGATCGTAAGTACCCCGAGCTAGAAAATAAAGGTCAAAACTTTACTGATGTAAATGTCCAGACCTTTGGGGGCAATTGTTTGTATCTAAACTCACAAAACCAACTGGACTTACGTTAATTTAAGAATGAGAGTTTGTGAATATTCAATAGTCACTTCAAAGAGGACGGACTAAAAGATTACCAAGTCAGTTTGACCTATGAGCTTACAAGTCAGGTCAGCTCGTCCAGTAACAAATCAGCTCGGCCTAAAACAGGTCAGTTCTCCATGTTAGGTCAGCTCGTCCAGTAACACGTCAGCTCGACCTACGACAGGTCAACTCTCCATGTTAGATCAGCTCGTCCAGTAACATGTCATCTCAGCCTATGACTAGTCAACTCTCCAGCATTTAGAAAATGTCATCTAGAAAACGTTATCATTGCTTTATTGCCACTTGTATCTTATCCATGACATCATTGATTCCCATACGACCATTCCAACACATGGCACTCATGATGATTATGCCTTACTTTTAACCAATCAAAAGCATGCAATAATTACCCCCCATCTCGGCATCATCATGAGCCGACCTCAAAAGGACCAATCAAGAGTTAAGAAATGCATGAGCAATGGCACACAATTCAAGGAAAGCATTGTAGATAACTTATTTTTAGAGGCCAATTGGCTGTTTTGAAAGCCTGTAAGTATAACCCCAAATAGTTCCCCAATGGAGGGGGGAAGGACATACAATACACATTCTACAAGCTTTCTTTTCAATACAAATTTCTCTCATTTTTTTTACTATTTCAGCAATTTACCTCATACAAATCATCAATTAAGTTGAAAAAAATGGAAGTCATTTTTTGACGTCAACAAATTGGATTTGACATAAAACTTATATAAGTCCCAAATGCTTCAAAAATATTAACTTGGTAATCAGATTGGAGTATTCAATCAATCTTATTTTTTTGAATGGCTAAATCTAAAAAGAAATACATTTATTCTACTTAAAAATCTCGAACCATAAAATATCAAGCGGCCCAAGTAATCTAGATCTCCCCGCTCAATAAAAGCATCAATGATTTCAACATAAAAGCATGAGTGGTTTCAACAAATCAGAATCAATTACGTATCAGAAAAATCATGATAAACATAATTAGATGAAAAGTTTTTATAATCAATTAACAAAAGTTCAAACGTTTCAACGACAAAGGATACGCTTTTTTTCCTTTTGATTACTGAAGACGGAAAATTAAAAATAGAGAGAAAAAAAAGTCGAAATTACATTTTTTTACGAACTTGAACTTGTTTATCTTTGCGCTCGTACTCTTGTCTGATCTTTTTCTTCTCCGCTTCCACTAGCTGCAACTTCTCAATATTGAATTCCTAACACAAAAAAAAAAGAAAAAAATCGAATATTAGACACTATTATTAAACTTAATCTAATCAGAAAAAGAAGCAATTAAGTCAATTTTACTTCTTCAGCGGAGACGGAGATCTCATTGGCCTTCTCTTCGGCTTCTTGGCGGATGAACCGCACCATCTGCTGGATCTGCTTTGACACATCTGCGTCGTTCATTTTCCGGTGAGCGGATCGGCGTCAGTTATAATCAAGGATTTCGGTTTTCGATTTGGTTATGCGAGAACTGGATGGTTCTGTTGTCCAACGTTTATACACGATAGCAATTATATATATTACTAAATAATTTCACAATTAGTCCCTAACTTATTGACCTTGATGCAAATATTTTTAGTTTTCGTGATGATATACGGGACGGGGTTAGTTATTTTTCCTTTAGTTTACTTTCCCTATTGAGTGTGAAAAAATTAACATTTTGTTGAAAGAATAATACTATTATATTCTTATTTGTTTATAAATTAATTATAAAGAAAATAAAATGAATGTAAAGAGGAGCAACGACCCTACCAACATGCCAACTCCTTAGAGTAAATTTTCAACAAAAAAAAAATGTGTCACATTATCCAAAAGAGTAATGATATAATGATGAAATATCGATGATATAACAACTTATGTGGAATAATGGAATAACACAATTCAATTTTTATAAGATAAGGGAGATTAAATTATCATATCATATTATTCCACTTAAATTGTCACATTATCGATATTTCATCATTAAAATGATAAATATCATTACTCAATCCAAAAATGCTTACGTAGCAAGAAAAATGTGAAAGATGTCCAGCAGGCATCTTCACATCCCCATGGAGACAATCTTCTCTTCATTCTAATGTTATTTGTCACGTGTACGATAATTCAGATTATTGCATTGGAAATGTTCTTATATCTCAATTGTATCTCATAGTTAAATAATAATGTAGGTGTGCCCAATGTTAACCAGTGATGCAGTTCACATTAGAAAATATCTATTAAATTGAGTGTCGTGTACTCAGTGTTTGAATTTGCAAAATAGGGAAGTGATGACTCGTGTAGGAACTTGTTTAGTACAAGTAATAGTTCATATTTCATTTCTAGGTTGTCTAAATTGTAATTTTGTTGTAAAAAAAGCCATGTTCTAAAATGCGCCGCCTAAGCGCGACGCAGGTCGAAAACTTGTCGAATTCGGAAAATGCGCAAAAAATGTGTTTTCCATCTAAAATACGGGCCGCCTAATCCTTTTTTTTTTAATC